TAAACACGGCCCTGGGTTTGTTGTTTTTCCCTTCTGGGATTCCTCCCTTGCACGGGGGGTTGGTCTAGATGACCGCTGGGGGATCTCTCCCGCTCACCTCGCCCTCCTCCCTCCTTGCGCCAGCGGTGCTGTCGGTCTTCACGCGGACGCCGCGCCGGAGTCCCGCCTCGGGCGCCCGGCGGTCCTGCACTGCGGCTTCTCGGCGCCGGCCTCGGCCTTCTCGGTGGAGTGGCGCCATCAGTTCCGGGGGGCCGGGAAGGTGGTGCTGGCCTTCGACGGAGCCTCGCGGGGTGTCGGTGGCCGAGGAGGGGGCCGAGCTGCTGCTGGATGCCGAGGGCGGCGGCGCCTCCCTGCGCCTGCGGAGCGTGGCCGTCCGCCACGAGGGCACCTACATCTGCACCGTCTACCTGCCCCACCTGCACGCCCAGCAGGCGCTCGAGTTCAAGGTGGTGGGTGAGTGAGCGACCAGTGGGGGTCTCCCTCGCAGGGAGGGCGGAGGGAAGGGGAAAGGGGGGTCCACTGCCCAAAGGGACCCCCATGGAGCCAGCATCTTGCATTCTCACAGTCCAAATGCCGGCCAGGCCCTAGGGATCCAGATAGACTGCTCCTGGGCCTGGAGGCGCCAAAAGAACATAGGGAGAGTGCTTAAACCTCGCAGTGGCCAAATTGCCCTGAGATCCCTGCCTGGCAGGGGTTGGGCTAGATGACCACTTCTGCAATTCTAGGCTTCTAAGAACCAAGCGATCCAGAGAGACTGCCCCTGGACTGGAAGGCTCCTTAAGAAGCGTCTGGCCACTTGGTCAAGCCAACGGGGACCCTGTCTTCCTCAGAATTCGAATCCAAGACCCCCCCTCTCCCCTCCCGGCAGCTGGGAGCCTGCAGCGCTCCTGGTTGTCAGCAGGGGGCGCTCTGCTCACTCCCTCTCGCCCTGCAGAGCCCCCCCAGGTGACGCTGCGCCCCACGACGCTCTCGGTGCCCCCCGGCGCCCGGCCCCAGCTGGCCTGCGAGGTCTCCGGCTTCTTCCCTCTGGGTGCCTCGGTCAGCTGGAAGCGGAGGGGGTCCGGCGCCCCCCAGGACGCCTTCCTGGACATCGGGGACTCGGGGCATCGCCAGGCTCCCGACGGCACCTTCAGCTTCACCAGCTTCGCCCGCCTGCTGCCCGTCCCGACCGAGGACCACGGGGTCTCCTACGTCTGCCATGTGGGCCACGCCGGGCTGGGCGAGGCGGGGGTCAAGAAGGCGGTCGTGCTCCATGTGGCAGGTGGGGGTCTGCACTTGGGGGTCTGTGCCGGGGTCCCCTGGGGGCTGGGTAGCAAGGCCCAGAAGACCGGCTGCGGGTGCGATTCCTGACTGGCGGAGGTTGGGGGGTCGTCCGTCCTGGGTGATTTAGCTGGGATTCCTCCCTTGAAGGGGGTTGGGCTAGATGACCGCTGGGGTGCCCTCCCAACTAGGATTCTGTGAATTGGCACTGATCAAGTCAGGCATGGGGTGGAGGATATGGAGGGTGGGGCGAAGGTGCAGCTTTGGGACCTGCAATGGGTGGCCAAGGCAGGGTGGGGGTCTGACGTCGCCCCCTTCTCCCTCGCTGACGCCCCCCCTTCTGCCTCTGCCCCTTCTCCCCCCACCCAGGGTCCCTGGGCCCCTCCCTGGAGGACGCCATCGGCTTGTTCCTGGTCGCCATTGTGCTCCTGGGGGTCTTGCGGTCCTTCTTCCGATGGGGTAAGGTTGTTCCCACCCACCCCTTCTGTGCTGTTATTTTTGTTATCAATATGGTCCTATTTTACCATTTGGTCAATATTTTAGGGGATACTTTAGCTGAGATTCCTGGGGTCCCTTCTGATTCTACAATTCTAGGATTCTATAAATGTGCAGAGCACCCCTATTTCGTGGATCTCCGGGCAATTTGCGGCATAAAAATGCACGATGAAAACACAACGTACATAATAAAATGAGAACCAAAACAAATAACCCAGCCTCCCTCAAGTCTAATTATTATAATGAAAAATAGAAATATTTTCCTGGGGGAGACAATTCAGAATCTATTAAGACCATGCAAATATTGACAGTAAAAGCAGCTGAGAAATCTCTCCTCCACCACCTGACCCCTTTGATTGGCGGAACTGGCACTGGCCAATTGACTCCCCTTTCCCACAGTTGCCAGTACAAGAAGCTCAGCTGGGAGAGCCTGAGACTCTTGATTTCAGGGTTGTGGGTTCAAGATTCCTGCCTTGCGGGGGTTGGACTAGATCAGTGTTTCCCAACCTTGGGGCTCCAGCTGTTTTTGAACTACAACTCCCATCATCCCTAACTAGTAAGACAAGTGGCCAGGGGTGATGGGAATTGTAGTCCAAAAACAGCAGGAGAACCAATGTTGGGAAACACTGGACTAGATGACCCTCGGGTCCCTCCTGGCTCCAACAACCTTTGGAACTCCCTGCCTCTTGATACCAACCAGGCGCCTTGGCCAGACTCTCTTTGGTCGCCTGCTAAAAACATCCCTGCCCAGCGGCTCAGAAATATTGATTTCCGTTTTAGCTTTCTGCATGCTTTCAAGTATTCCTGTCCATTTCCCTGGGTTTTCTGGTCATTCACCTTTCCCTGCTTCATTTTCCTCCTTTTCAGCTTCTGAAGAAAAACCCAAATCGGAGAAGCCCAAATCCGAGGTCAGTGCCCAAGATACGCCCAAGACTGTCAAGTTCTCTCAATTCCTCATTTTTCTATTCTTAAAAAAAATATCTCTGTGCCACTCACTGAGAGGCAGTGCGGTGCTGTGGTGAGAGGGCCAGACTAGGCCCTGGCAGAGAGATCTGGGTTTGAATCCCCTGTCCCTGGCCATGATGAAGCTCGCAGGGGGGCTGGGGGGCAGGATCCAGCCTGCCTACTTCGCAGGGTTCTTGTGGAGCAATTCCTGCAATTGCAACCCCCAGCCAGCTAATGTTTCCTCTCTGAAACGGGTCAGTATCTCACGGATTTCTCTTCTTTCTGCAGTAACGGACTTTGGGCAACCCAGCTCCCGGCTTGGTTTGTTGCCTGTCTCCGGATCCCGTTGAAAGAGCAAAGTGGATCATAGGCCCCCGAACTCCTGGGTCCCTCCTCTTTCGCTGCCCAGTCTTGCCCCACTGGTCCCTTGTTGGAAGCCCCCTTCCCCTTCCTTTTTGGGGTCAGGGGTCTGCTTGGCTTCGCATCCTGCAGATTCACAGCTGTGATTTTAAGGAGGGGGCCAGATCTGTGCATAGCAAAAGCCCCCCTTTCTGACAGTCCCTGCCCCTCCTCACTTCCGTGCTGTGAAATTATAGAAGTGTAGAATTGGGAGGGGGCCCTGAGGGTCATCTAGTCCAGGGGTCTGCAACCTTTAAGACAAAAAGAGCCACTTGGACCCGTTTCCGAAGGAAAAAAAAACTGGAAGCCACAAAACTCGTCATTATAAAAATAACTTTTTTGTCACTTTTTAAAAATTATTTCTTTGTTTGACCCCTCAGAATTACTCCTCCTCATAGAAATAAACGTTAAATTAACAAGTTACCTTTTTGTGTGTGTGTGTTCTTCACTCCCCTTCAAAACAGTGACCAGCGTACATGCCCCTTACAATGTAGCGGGCGGGAAGGTGACGTCGGGACGGTGCGTGACTAACGCACACACCGCCCCCATGCGACGTCACAGCCAGTACAGCGCCCGCCACAGTGGGGAGTGTCGGGGCGCACACTGCGCCTCCTCCCCTCGCTAGTATCCGCCCCGGAGCCGCGGCAAAGGTGTAAAAGAGCCACATGCGGCTCCGGAGCCGTGGGTTGCAGACCCCTGATCTAGTCCAACCCCCCGCAAGGCACGAATTGCATCAAAAGCACCCCTAAGGTCCTGGGCCGCAGACTCTGCACATGCTCTGGGAGACTCTTGACGGGGGGCCTGTGTTGTCTTTGGGATTGTGGGAGAGAACCTTTTTGGAGTAGGGGAGACTGACTTGAGCAAGATTGGCATATCCCTCCCCGCCCCCCAATAAATAAATCAGGGATCCTCCACTTACAGAATGTGGGTCATCAGGGTGTCCCTTTACCTCCCCCTCTGGGGGACCTGAAGTGATACAGTCCAGAGCCAAGTTTATCCCCTCTAGAGACCTGGGTGCAAAAGGAGCCCGTTTCCCCGCAACATCCCTGCAGAGACGGCCAGGCAGAGCAGCTTCGGTCCCCTCGCCTCTCTCGATGCGGACTAGGACCTTCCCCCCTTCCCTCCCCCCAGAGCACAGAACTCACCCCCCTCCCCATTCTGTGTAGATTCTGCTGTAGACTGTAAGCCCCGTGGGGCAGAGCCAACCTGGAGAATAAACACGCCTTGAAAAGAACTGCATGCTGTGGGTCTGTTTTTTCCTTCCAGGGCTGCAGGAGAGGTGAGGGTGGCCAAGTTTGATAAACAGTAGCAATAAATGGATGGCGGAAAAGTCTGGGAAGGGGCGAGAGGCCCCCCCTGCCCCCCTCAAGGCTCCTCTCAGGTTCATCCAGGGTCCAAGGCCTCCTCCATTTTTGGAGGGCCAGGAAGTGAGTGGCCCCTGCAGCTTCGCCTGCTGGAAAGGGGGCAACATGCCAGAGGCCAGCCTGGCAGGGTTGTTGTGGAAGGAGGAGCTCCTTGGACCGCCTCCTGGGCCTCCTCTGCAGCTTCACTTTGTTAACGGAAAAATCTGAGGGCTCCCTTGGACAAAAACAAAGACACCAACCAGGATTACTTGGAGCAAAACAGCAGCCTGTAGGCTTGGCCTTTATTGATCTGTTGCAACAGGGTGCTCCCCTCACTTGCAGGAGAGAGGAAGGACCCAGAAAATGGTGTGCAAGGTCTTATAAAGACTTTTGAAATTGCCACCCTGTAGATCAAGACCTTAAAAAGCAGAGACATCACCTTGCCAACAAAGGTCCATATAGTTAAAGCCATGGTTTTCCCAGTAGTGATGTATGGAAGTGAGAGCTGGACCATCAAGAAGGCTGATCGCCAAAGAATTGATGCTTTTGAATTCTGGTGCTGGAGGAGACTCTTGAGAGTCCCATGGACTGCAAGAAGGTCAAACGCATCCATTCTTAAGGAAATCAGCCCTGAGCACTCACTGGAAGGACAGATCCTGAAGCTGAGGCTCCAGGACTTTGGCCACCTCATGAGAAGAGAAGACTCCCTGGAAAAGACCCTGATGTTGGGAAAGATGGACGGCAAAAGGAGAAGGGGATGACAGAGGATGAGATGGTGGGACAGTGTTCTCGAAGGTTTGACCAAACTGTGGGAGGCAGTGGAAGACAGGAGTGCCTGGCGTGGTCTGGTCCAGGGGGTCCCGAAGAGTCAGACACGACTAAACGACTAAACAACAACAAGATCAAGACCACCCCCAGAAACATCATACATATATCACAGAAGGGGTGTAACCTAAGACCACCCCTCAGATACATCACACCTACATCACAAAAAAGGCGGTCTAAACAGAACATTTGAATATTGTTTTTCTCCTGTTGTTGTTTATCTCCTGACTGGCAGGTTACTTGATTGGATTGCCTGGGGAGCCTGGCCATTCCTTTGTAGTGAAAAATACTTAGTTCTTGAGTCAGGTCACAGGCTCACACCCTATTCAAACACAGACATACCCTTAGAATCATAGAATCATAGAGTTGGAAGAGACCACAAGGGCCATCGAGTCCAACCCCCTGCCAAGCAGGAAACACCATCACCCTGAGGCCTGCAGGGATCTGGAGTGAGAGCAACTTCTCCTGTTGAACTACCGCCTAAAGGAGAGGAACAGAGGTCTTGGCCCATTTTGGGGGCAGGTGAGGGCTGTCAAGTTGAAAGGATACATTCAGGCGTAATATTTGTAACATTTAACTTTAAATATGTGCCCCCCCCCGTAATTTCCGTAACATTATCTCAAGTCACCTCTCAACTGTAAATCTCTCCCTCTTTCCAGGCTCACAATCGACTTCTAACACTTAGTTGTAACACTAGCAAGGAAAGGAGCCTCTGAGGGATTATTCTCCACAACTCAGGTTGTCCAGATCCACCATTCTCCGAAGAGCCCCCCTTCATTGGGTGTCTGTCCAAACCTCAGCCTTGGAAGGCAGGCAGGGTCATCTCTTTTCTCTCACACCTTCCACCATGAGAGGAACGCAATGGGGTTGTGAGGGTGTTAACGGAAAAATCCGCAGGCTCCCTTGGACAAAAACAAAGACACCAACCAGGATACCTTGGAGCAAAACAGCAGCCTGTAGGCTTGGCCTTGATTGAACTGTTGCAACAGGGTGTTCCCTTCACTTGCAAGAGAGAGGAAGGACCCAGAAAGATGGTGTGCAAGACCTTATAAAGACTTTTGAAATTCCCATCCTCCAGGTCAAGCCCACCCCCAGAAACATCATGCATACATTACAGAAAGGAGGGGTTGTGGTGGTAACCTGAGTGTCCTGTCACCTGGCTGGTTCCCCCTTGAGTCCTTTTCAGGGGACAGAGGGGAGTTTCCAGTTTCCTGCCCCCAGAGGGAAGATCTGATCATTGTCCTTTGTTTCAGTCCATGCTGAATCCACTCCCATATGCAAGTTCTTTGTGATCTTGATGGTCTTCTGTCTGGGACCATCAGGGTTGGCATAGCAACTGGGCAGGGCTCCTGTGGATGTGCTGGGCTGGCCTGTACTAAAACTTTCCCCATTTTGTAGTCCTTCCTTCATGGAGTCAAATAAAGTGGAACAGGGCAGATCCGGTGTATGGTGGATTTTCTATGAATTTATAACAGAAGCGTAGCGTATGTCGTGTGTGTGGAGTTAAACTGAATGATGGGGGGGGGGGTTTCGTGCGACAAGGGAGAGAGAGACCCCCCCTGACCCCCTTTCTGGGAGAGCCCCCCTTTCCGCTCCCCCCCAGAGGGTCCCCCTTGCCTCTCTCTGTGTCTCTGAGGGAGGAGAGAGGAGGCGCCCCTCCCCCGCTGCTCCTTCCCCTCAGCGCCTTTTCCCGCCTTTTCCCGCCAACTGCCTCCCTCACTTGGGGCGCCAAGGATTCCCGGGGGGCCTTCAGGGGCGGATTTCTCTTCAGGATTCCTCTCGCTTTCCAAGCTCTGGGTGAAAACTCCCTTCGCCACGGCCTGCATCCCTCGCCGGATTGCACCAAAGTCCGATTTCTTCCCATTTCCTCCGTCTAATAGCCGCTTTGGGCCTAGTGTGGGGCTGGCATAAAGTACCTCTTTTGTCAATGGATCTGAAGGTATCAATTATTGGCCCAAAGCGGCTTTATGGATTAACCATTTTCCATGGGTCCTTTGGAGGTGGCTCTCCTGAAAGCTTATGACAGTAAATCTCATTTTGGCCTCCAACCAAGATCGCGAGTGCGATTCCTTCCTCGCCTGGGACACTTCTTCATCTCCCTATTTTCCTGGGGGGGGTGTAGCAGGAACCCCCCCACCCCAATCATTCTGTTTGCACAAACTTCACACACACTCACACTCACACACTACATACGCCACATTTCTGTTATAAATTCATAGAAAATCAACCATACATCGGATTTGCACTGTTCCATTTTATTTTACTCCATGTGACAAGGACTATCAAAGGGGGGTGGCTTGGTTTCTGGTCAGCCATAATCCCTTCACCATCCCAGCACATCCACAGGAGCCCTGCCCAGTTGCTATGCCAACCCTGATAATCCCAGACAGAAGACCATCAAGATCACAAAGAACAGTGGATTCAGCACAGACTGAAACAAAGGACAATGATCAGATCTTCCCTCTGGGGGGCAGGAAACTGGAAACTCCCCATTGTCACCTGGAAAGTACTCAAGGGGAGGGGGAAAGGAGGAACCAGCCAGGTGACAAGACACTCAGGCTACCACCACCACCCCTCCCTCAACCCCTCCTTTCTGTAATGTATGCATGATGTTTCTGGGGGTGGGCTTGACCTGGAGGAGGGGAATTTCAAAAGTTTTTATAAGGTCTTGCAGCCCATTGTTCTGGGTCTTTCCTCTCTCCTGCAAGTGAAGGGAATACCCTGTTGCAACAGTTCAATAAAGGCCAAGCCTACAGGCTGCAGTTTTGCTCCAAGTTATCCTGGTTGGTGTCTTTACTTTTTGTCCAAGGGAGCCCTCAGATTTTTCCGTTACAGGGGAAAGGGGATTTTCGGAGGGGGAGGGGTCTCCTGACCGGGAAGCCCCCGCTCCCTCCCCCCCGCCCACGTACCCCCCCATGGACCCCCCCCTCTCCCTTGCGGTTAGTCTGGTGGGGTGTGGGCTCCTTGGGGCAGAGGGAGGGAAGGGGGGGCAGCCCCTAGAGCGCAGGCGCAGAAGCAGGAAAACTGGAGGGAGGGGAGGACTCGGCTTGCCAAGGGTTAAAAGAAGCAGAGCGGGATTCCTAGAGAGGACAGGAAGTGAAGGGGGAGGGGCTAGGTC